GTCGCCACCAGGCCACCGAGCTTCATACATAACAAAAAGTTATTACGAACAACGATTGAACAGTCCCCCGACAGCCCGGCGACTTAAAGCAATTCAAATGGAATCGATTAGATGCACCCGGTGCAATGGCTAGCATCCATGTCGCTCAAGTAAGGGAAAATTGACTGTAGCTATAAAAACAAAAACATTATTTGAAAATACTCAACATAAATTCAAATCCGAGCAAAGGCGAGCATCACAATTAGAGCAAAATGAAAACCAGTTTTGTCTGCAATGCTGAATTGAAATCATAATTTGATTTTAGTTTACTATGAGTAGTAAAATGTTGTTTTCATTTTGCTGTACCTTCCCAACATGATTGGAAAAATAAATATGCGATTTTTGCTCTCCCACATGTCTAAAAGGGGTTTCATTTTGTTTTCATTGAGAGCAGAACTAGAACTCCTCCATTTGATATTTTCTCAGGAATGTTCTGCTCTCTATTCTGTTATTTTATCCGGAAAACAGTCGAAAACGTTAAAATAGCCAACATTGCCTTGAAAAATGCCAAAATGACCTTAAAAAATCAAACTTTTATCAAAAGTATTAGACCCATCACAACGATCTGATAAAACAAAATTAGAGCTATGACAAATTTACTAAAAATCTTGTTTCTCGATTCCCGGGAAACTTGTTGAATTTCTTAGGAAACATTCTTTCCAAAAATAGAGCACACGAACCAGGAACTTACTCTATGTAGAACAATTACAATATACAAAAAATAAATTCAGAGTAACTTCCAGAGGAAGCTGATGGAAACATCCAGGAGAAGCCGAATGAAACTTCCGGGTGAAGCAAAAAAAAAATCCGGGGAAACGTGGAGGAAACTTTCGCGAGAGAAACATCTAGGTTAAATAAATAATTTCCAGGGGAAGTCGAAAGGAGATTCCGGTGGAAGTCAGAAGAAACTTTCAGATGTAGTCAAGGAAAAAAAACTGCCACAATAAGTAAAAAGAAAGCTCCGGGTAGTCTGAGGGAAGCCGAAAGAAAATGCTTAGGATAAGTTGGGAGAATATTTCAGTGGAAATCAGAAAAAAACTTGTCGAGGAAATCTGGTAAAACTTTCAGAGAATGCCGGAAGAAAACATTTATGAGAGAAATCAAAGGAAAAAATCTACGATGTTGGAAATAGCTTCCGAGGAAACTTTGTAAGAAACTTCCTTGGAAAGTTGGTAGAAATTTCCAAGAAAAATTGGAAGAGCCATCCGGGAAAATTTGAAAGACACTTCCAGAAGTTGTCAGAAGAGGGAGGAAAATTCCAAAAGAAATTGGAAGAAATATTTGGAGGAAACCAAAGGAATCTTTTGGGGAAGTCTGGAGAATCTTCCAGTGGAAGTCAAAATTAGATGTAACTCCCGGGATAGGTCAGAAAAAAAGGGGTGGGACACTTCCCGGAGTAAATGGAAGAAACTTTTTTGGAGAGGTTGAATTTTTTTCCAGGCAAGTCGAAAGAAATTTCTAGTAGGAATTCAAGACTATCATTTGGGTGAAATCAAATAAGTAGTTAAAACTACTTAAAAAGTGAATTGCTGTGGAAACCTTATTTTTGATTGACCTTACCATCACCTAGAAAGTTGTTGTTTATTAATTTATTTGATAATGCTCAAACGAATTAACTTTACAGAGCCGAGGATTCTTGGTCACTATACAATACATCTTAAAACTATAGTCAAAAGGTACAACACAATAAACACTTTATCTTCCGCTATCCAAAAAGCCTCCTCCATCAGAACTGGAGCCGCTTCCAGTGGTTTCATTGTATGGCAGTTACGCCATCGGGGGGCAGAGCGCTTCCATTGCAGCGATGGACGCATAACGTGGTCAGCACTCACACACTCATCACGACACGGTTGCTTTCCAAAGTCGACGACGCATCGACCGAAAGAACTGCTGATGAAGAACAATTAGGAGGACCACGCAATGGTCCAATTTATCAATTCCGGGTTTTTTCCCGGGTATTTAATAATAAACCCAACTCTAACATCACCCCTAGACCTGTTCATTTTAAACGAAATGTTCGGAATGTAACGGGTCAACCGTGATTACTGTTCGTCATGTTAATTTGAACTTCTGTGCAAATTTTCAGCAAAATCGGTGATGATTTAGAGGTGCTTCAAGTTAATTTTATGTTTTTAAGGTAATTTACGGCTTACAATATTTGTATCTCGAGACTGAAACAACGAAAGCTGCTGTAACAACTTTCATAGCAAAGTTTAATGTGTTATGTATCAACTTTGTAACCAAAGGTTGACTATTCGAAGTGATTTTATTGAAGTTTGACTTAGTTTCATGCTCGAAGATATATTAAAAAGGTAAGAATTTTAAAGTATTTGTTCTACGAATTTTTCACCCATATGATATAAAAATGTGTAGTGTACGGCATAATGTTCCTCATATTTTTCTAGAAGTTTCGTTCCAACATAGTTTTCGTGTATATTTCATAGATTGAGAGATAAAAATCAGAAAAGAGGCCGTTTTAGCTAAAATTCACAAGACAACAGAACCAATAAAAGTCAATTAGATTGACAGAACATAGTTGCATTGCTTTTCAATGACAACCGATGACTGTTTCATTGATATATGATTTTTTCATAAATATGAATCCTCAGTAGACGTGTTTTTTTATCAAAGGCAAGTGTCACTCAAACCATAACAGCAATTTATAAAATAACGAACATTTGAATGGTTCGAGTGACACTGGCCTTTGATAAAAAAAACACGTCTACTGAGGATTCATATTTATGAAAAAATCATATATCAATGAAACAGTCATCGGTCGTCATTGAAAAGCAATGCAATTATGTTCTGTCAATCTAATTGACTTTTATTGGTTCTGTTGTCTTGTGAATTTTAGCTAAAACGGCCTCTTTTCTGATTTTTATCTCTCAATCTATGAAATATACACGAAAACTATGTTGGAACGAAACTTCTAGAAAAATATGAGGAACATTATGCCGTACACTACACATTTTTATATCATATGGGTGGAAAATTCGTAGAACAAATACTTTAAAATTCTTCACTTTTTAAGATATCTTCGAGCATGAAACTAAGTCAAACTTCAATAAAATCACTTCGAATAGTCAACCTTTGGTTACAAAGTTGATACATAACACATTAAACTTTGCTATGAAAGTTGTTACAGCAGCTTTCGTTGTTTCAGTCTCGAGATACAAATATTGTAAGCCGTAAATTACCTTAAAAACATAAAATTAACTTGAAGCACCTCTAAATCATCACCGATTTTGCTGAAAATTTGCACAGAAGTTCAAATTAACATGACGAACAGTAATCACGGTTGACCCGTTACATTCCGAACATTTCGTTTAAAATGAACAGGTCTAATCACCCCTACCTTAAACAAAAAAGGCGTTCAAAATTAACCGTTTGGAGATAATCATATCATTTTTTTTATCAGAATAACAGCATTTTGTACTTTACGGAGACTCATAAACTCATTCTAAATTATTAATTGTTCTTAAAAATAACATTGTTAGATTATCCAAATCATCACGGATATTTGATCTTGAAGTTCTGCAGACTCAACAAAGTATACAAAGATTCAACTTAATGATAGAATGGTTGAACCTTCGTGAAGCTCCATAATATAATTTGGTTTGGTATATTAGGTTTTCCAAAATGCCTGGAGTTCCGTTTTTTTTTTATTATAGTCACACCAAAATAAATTCTAAAAGAATAACTCCGTAAGCTATCGTGGTAGGAATAACGGCAATATCACTGTTTTCCCCGTGCACAAATAGATTGCGAGTGAGAGCAAATAGTGCAATAATTTTTAAGATTTTTTGATACTTTACCATAGTGAAAGTCATAATATAAAAATGGTAAACAGATGTGTAGATGAATGTGATATAAAGCCTTAAGGGATTTTTCAAGACCAAATTATGACCCACAAGACTATGATAAAACCAGAATTTTTACTTGGGATTGTTCCCGGAGAATCCGAATTCCCGGTTTTTCCCGGATTTCCCGGGACACCGTGTAAATAACTATCAAAAATTAATCTTATTGTCTAACTGGTCAGTGGGTAAACATATTTTCAGATTTCCAAGAATTCCCTAAATTCCCCGGGAAGTCACAAATGGCCGGAAAATGGAACCACTAAGTCCAAAATAGCTTTAAAACGCCATAATGCCAAACGGACAAAAGAAATTGTGTATGCACAGTACATGTTCGATAACTGGGATAAAGCGCAGCCCAGTTTACGAATTCCACTCGTTAACTGGGCTGGATTGTCAAACGTTAACCAATACTGAGAGAAACTCCAATGGATTGTTTGATCGACGTTAAACAAGTTTCACGTGCATTGAATTGAAACAGTGCAAAGTTTGTTATTTTCACAGCATTCAAACTCGCGAGTTTGGAAAGGCTTAACGCTTCCGCTAAAAACACTTTCAAGTCTTGATTTCAGTGTGAAATGAAAATAATTTTAAATTTATTTATATTTCTCTATATGTAATGGCAGGCAACCCCATTATAACAACGAATTGTTAAGCAAATTGTGTCGTCTATTTTTGACGTATAACTGTCTTTTAACCAGTTAGCGATCGCCCAGTTAGCAAAGAAGTACTGTGCATTGAAGAAAACATGGTACATTTTGTTCATTGGAATTATTTCGAAATGTATTTGAACAAGTTTATTCAGAATTCAAAAACTTTTGCATCCTAAAACAAATTTGATTGAATAAAGGTACTGGAGTTATTTACATAATATGGACTGATACATTATGAAAACTCAAATGCAAACTAGAAAGTTGCATTTGTTTGAAAATAAGCACCGATCTCAACAACCCGATTGTATGACAGAGTATGAGAGTGACCACTATTCTTGCCTAATTATTATGTTCTTTCTTTACTATAGAGACTGGATTGTGGTTGGTTCTCCTCTTACATTATGAAAAAATTGTACCATATTGTGGTTACGAATAGCAAATCAACACTCACCCGTCACCGTGATGTACTGTGGGCCTCCTTCCGTTGGGCTTTGTGCCTGCACAACGGCAACCTGAGCGGTCACGTGCTGCTGACCGTTGCCATTGGCTGTCGCTGTGTCCCCATCGACTGCCGCCGCTGCCGTTAGCTGCATTCCGATCTTGGAATCCTCCGGCGATTCGGTTTCATCGAGCGGGACAATATCGATCACAGTGCCATTGGGATGGATCACGATTTTCTTCTGCAATGTAGTACACTATTGGAAATAAAAGTTGGAACTTTGTGCTTTCTATGAGTAAGTGGTTGAGAAAGATACCTGCTGAATGATCTGCTGCAGCGTCAAACCTCCATTGGCGGTGCCGAGAAGATTCGCAATGCTAAGATTGTTGGCAATCAGGCTGGTCGGTATGACCGGTGTCGGTGTTGTGGTAGCGGCTGCCACAGCCTGATTGGCCGCGCTGACTGCGATCGTTTTCCCGGTACTACCGTTTTTGAGCGTACTGGCCGGAATCATTGTGATTGCTGGAGCCGTCGTTGTTGGCGAGGTTACGGCCGCTATTGGAGAGCCATCGCTCGGACTCGGTGAGGAGGTTGACGTCGCAACTACCGTACTTGTGGGGGTCGCAGCAGTAGCAGAATTCGCGATTGGGGTTACCGTTATGAAACTACGTTGCGTTGCCAGACGGGTTGCCATTTCGCTTGGATTTTTTTGTTTTGTTTTTAGTTTTGAGGAATTTTGGTAAACTTTGCTTTTTTATGATAGGAATTTGTAAGTGTGATTTAAAAATACTTTAATCATATGTTTGAAAAGATATTACTTTTGTGAACCCTGTATTGGTTATGCTAGTAGGTAGTACGGATCGATTACCAATATGATATGGTGTTGAATCTATGCCCTATAATTGGATATTCATGCACGGTTTATTTGGTATACGGTAAAATGAAACGCTGCTGTTGCGAGTTTAAGGCTCTCGGGTGATTATGGGATATAAGGCGATCTGGAATGAAAACGAGAAAGATGAGAGACAAATTAGCATCACAGTTGTTGTTTAATTTCACGAGTTTCCACGAAAATGTTGCTAAAATTTCAATTCCGGCAATTGGGAGATAAATAGATATCGGAAAAGGAAAACAATTAGCATTACTCCTGGGAAAAGCAGCATTCCGTAAAATCTCCGACTGCACTAATTAATTGCATTCCAGTGTTGGGGATTGGGAATTGGCAGAAGATCATTTCGACTGCAAAGCAAAGAAAAACCCTCATTCCAGGAGTTGAACCGAATAAACCGTCCCCTTTTGCATGCAGCCTTAGCCTCCTCCCTGATGTTTTTGTTTCCTCCTCGACCCCCCAGGTTGCATCATGATCCTTTTCAGCGTCCTCCTTTTTCGCGTGCATCCCTGGCAGTATCAAGGTAGGGCAATGAAGGGTACGCGTCCCTGTCTAGTTTTTGTTTGCAGTTCCAATTTATGTTATTTTTTACTTTCAAGATCTCATAAACATTTTTCATGATTTCAATCGAAGGAGTTTTAGAGTTCACAAAGTAGTTTGAATTAAATAATCATAAAGCGAAGAGCAAAATTTATCAAAAAGATAAACAACTCTGGCATAGTTCTGGTGGCCAATGAATTTACATTTTGAAATCCCCAGTTTTTCCCCGTTCAAATTTCAAAAATTTCCCAGTTTCTGGTGCGTGATCGAACGTTAATTTTTCGATCATAACTCATAACGTTATAGAGGAAATGGATGTAATGTCGGCCTAAATGCCTCTAATTTGAGCCCATACATAAATTCAGCAATCAACTAAATTTTCAATAGCGACCAAAAATATCCATTAGTAGTACCGTCTCAATGATGCGTTCATCTAGATAGAATTGATAAATAGCATATTTTTAGCGATGGGCCCAATCTTAGATCCATAGGCCAACATTAGAGCCATTTCCCTACTTGGTTCATGAGTTATACATTTTTAAAGTAGGGGAAATGGCTCTAATGTTGGCTTATGGATCTAAGATTGGGCCCATCACTTAAAAATCTCGGAGTCGAACGCCATTGGGCCAAGTGAGTAATTGGACCAATTTTATGAATAGTTCGGTCTTAGAGATTCTTTAAAAAAAGATCTTGGGAACCTTTTTAGTTGGAACGCCACCCAATTGACGAACTCCAAACTAACAAGCACCTTATCCAGAAAACTCTCAACCCCTAAACTATGACTTTTTTTTCGATATTTGTGACTTATTCAAATCTTTGTGATGCTATAGATTTAAAAAAAAAACACTATTGAACAATTTTTTTTACAAATATGAGACTGAGAAAAATACAAAGATTTTGAAAAATAATCAAGCATCCAGACCTTTTTTCCAGTCTCTAGAATTTGGAAAAATGTTCAAGGTTCTAAAAATTTAAACAACCGATGTGCCGAGAATACTTATGGTACTTTGAAGAGAATTTAAAGGGTGTTAATTCTAAAAAAATATATACGAAGGAGGAAAAAATACTGGGAAAATTCTGAGGGAGTTCTGACTACGATATTTTTTATACAAAGCCCTTCGAAAAATTCCAAGGCATTTTTGGGAAGAAGAAAGGAACTACTGAATTTAGTGCATAGAGAATCGATTGCAAATGTGAGGAGTATAGCAGATGAATTTTATGGAAAAATCAAATTCAATTCCATAGCAAAACGATATAGTGGTTCTCAGAATTTCCTAGTTTTGTTCCTTATCACAACATATTAGGCCCGTATCTTGTTATTTTGTCATTAGAGTTACCATTTCCATGTTCAGGGCTGGTAGTGCTGATGCGATATCATAGCAGTGACTTTTGTGACTGAAATTTCGGAAATAGTGACCAAATAGTGACTTATAAATACTAAATAAGTATCCATTTATATTGTAGCTTAGAAATTCAAATACGGTTTGATATTGAAATAAACTTTTTATATCATGGAACTTAAAATCTAATTTCATAAATTCCTCTAATTTAATCGAATCTCCCAACGGAATGTCATGTGAAGAGCATTTGAAGTGATTTGAATAACTTTTGCTTACGTTATACATGATGACTAGCAAATAGTAATTCCCATTTTTTACGATCTTGAATTTGATACTGCGTTCGAAATCTTTAAATATTTGATATATCTAGGTAGATAACTTTGATAATTTGCTATGAACTTTTCACAGAATTTCTTGAGAATGATCTCAAGAACTTTTTTAGATTAATTCCCCTTCTCTTAAAGTTAGAGGCAAACAAGCTTTTACAAAAATAATAATGCATTATTGAAATTCATTGCAGAACAATCAACAAAATTCTTGGAAATATATTATTTATTTATTTATTTATTTATTGTAATTCATCTGACAGTAGTTGAATAAAACTTAGATAATACACAAAAAAGCTACAGATAAACAGATTACAAAAATAATCACAATCTTCTCAATCGGTTTCGAAATTGGTTCGATGTTTCTCCGAATTCAAATGCTTCTTCCACAGCGGAGAATGCCCGAATCATCGCAGACATACGCTCATGGTATCCATATGCAGTCCGATGGAATCTTGGTTGTAGTAAGGATGATTGCCGCAAGATCCTTTGAAGAACAGTGAAGTTTAATTGTGAAAGCAGTTGAGGGCAGTCCACATCGCCATTTAAAAGTTTCGCTACAAATAAGGCTTGTTGCATTTTCTTCTGTGTTCCAATGTGTCCAGGTCCAATAGCATGCATCGGTCTGCATAAGGTGGTAAATTCATTGGATCGCGCCACGGCAGGCTGCGCAAAGCTAAGCTCAAAATTATTTTCTGAACACGTTCTATTCGGAGATTCCACACTAGCTCATATGGAGACCAGACCACCGATGCATTCTCAAGTATGGGCCGAACTAAAGAGCAATATAGTGCCTTCAAGCAGTGAGGGTCTTTGAAATCTCGTGCAATCTTCGAAATAAATCCCAGTTGACGATTCGCCTTAGAGATGATCGAGGAATAGTGAAGATTGAAGTTCAACTTTGGGTTCAAAAAAACACTACTCTGCGAAACGTTACATTGTCAATGCAGTAGCCGTAAAGGATTGAACTCTTAGAGCGGTGAAACGTCATCACTGCACACTTTGGAACGCTGATGATGAGCTTATTGCGACGGCACCAATCCACAAACAAATCTAGCAGAGCTTGAAGACGATGACAATCCTCAATCAACTATAACGTATTGCTTAAGATCATCTGCATAAACGAGTTTGCATTTAACTCCCAACAAAGCTGCTAGTGAACCCAGATTACTTCCCTGAGGTAGGTACTCCAGAGGTGCTGGTAAACGTAGAAGAGACACAAGATCCTAGTCGTACTCGAAGAGTTCCTCCAGTCAAGTAGGAATGTAACCACGACCTAAGTTGCTCAGACGCTCCTAGTCGGGAAAGTTTGCATAACAAAACCTTATGGTCAATTTTATTGAATGCGGCTTTCAGATCAGTATATATGACGTCGACTTGTGCCTTATCCTCCTGATGCATGTACTAGTGAAATCCAAAAGGTTAGTAGCTACCGATCTACAGGGAATTAATCCATGCTGGTCAGTTGAAATGTAGTTCTTCGAGCGATTCAGGACAAATTCGCTCAATATGATCTCAAACAGTTTGGACGCTGCCGAAAGACTGGTGAGACCTCGATAGTTCTTAATATCCCGTTTATTTCCAGCTTTGAAAACAGGAAACATATACGACTGCTTCAACAATGCTGGGAATTTTCCTTGCTCAAAGGATGCATTAAATATGGCTGCTAAGGGTTCTGCTAAGGCAGCTGAGCAACAGCAAAACACCACTGCCGGAATTCCATCTGGACCAGAAGAGAGTGAGGTTTTCTGTCTCTTTGCTGCTGAAAGTACCATATCCCGAGATACTTCGAATGTGCTCAGTTCCACTAAGTCACGAAGACAGAGTGTTTAGCAAACATCTCACACGCTTCGCTGAGTGAAGTGGACTCTTTCCCATCGAGTAGCATATTGGACGGTATACTCGAATCTTTCCTTTCGCTGTTGACAGAGCTCCAAAATTTTCGGGGGATACGCCGCAAATTCCACTGGGCTCTAAAGACGTGTGATTTGTACAAGGCAGTGTTAAGTTTAATGTAAGCGATACTAGCACGCTTGAAGTCACGCTTCGTGTCAGCTGTTCTGTGACGACGTGGTTTTCTCTGGACTGCATTACGTTCACGCTTCAGCACTCTTAGCTGAGGAGTATTTCAAGCTGGGGAAATTGGTCGTCTTTTGAGAGGAACATTTGATTCCAACCAATGTTGAATAATGCAACAGAAACGCACTGTCATCTCATCAACATCAATGCATTCAAACACATCGGCCCAGTCTTGATCAAAAAGATACTGCAGTAATGAGACATAATCAATTTTCTTGAAGTCTAGAAGCCCTGATCTATCATCCACGTTGCAAGCTGGGTGAGATGGCCAGACAAGCGGAGCAGGTAGCGGCAGAATTAAGGAAGGATGGTGAGCATCAATAGGTAAAAGCGGGACAGCGGATTCGTCGATATCGAAATCATTTTCACCGTTGCAAAATACCATAATTTCGTAGTTGGAAATGCTTAACATCAAATATCAGAATTAAAGTGGACATTTTATACGATAGATGAGGAGATGAAAGTAAAGAGTTGATAGTTCCGTTATAGTGTGGCAGTGTGAAATTTGTATATAGAAAGTAGAAAGCGAACAAAGAACAATTTTGAGGAAGGTACGAATAGGGTAGAGCATCTCTTTTAACAAGCTTATCCGTTAATGAGGGATGGTGAGGGGTGTTTCCCCCTGCCACTACTGGCAAAAGGGATGATCGCCGATCTGCTCATGTACCTCCACAGTGCGGAAACAGTTCTATTGATTGTTTCACACTCAAGTCGCCATCTGACGTAAACAATTAACCGATTCGTACCTTCCTCAACTATCAACTCTTTAATTGAATCTCCTCATCTATCGTATAAAATCTCCACTTTAAGTCTGATATTTGACG